TGTCTCTATGGGTCCCAATGTGTCTCTATGGATCCCAATGGATCCCAGTGTGTCTGTATGGGTCCCAATGTGTCTCTATGGGTCCCAATGGATCCCAATGTGTCTCTATGGTCCCACTGTTCACTGCAGCAGGCTGCCCATGGAGGTGCTGGAGTCTCCTGCTCTGCAGATGTTCCAGACCTGCCTGGATGCCGAGCTGTGTGACCTGCTGTAGGAACGGCTTGGGCAGGGGGTTGGACTCCATGAGCTCTGCTGCTCCCTTCCAACCCCTACAATTCTGTGATGCTGTGAATCGTGAGCTCGGGGCCGGGCTCTGAGCGATGCTTCTCTTCCCCTGCAGACCGACATTGAGATTACACGGGAGGAGGACTTTGCACGCATCCTGCAGATGGAGGAGGAATACATCCAGCAGATCTGCGAGGACCTGCTGAGGGTGAAGCCAGACCTGGTCATCACTGAGAAGGGCATTTCGGGTAACGACGTCACACCCCCTCCTTTAGCAGCCCCCATTGCTTTGTTGGGGTCGTGAGGGCGCTGCCCACCCCTGACCGGAGCGCATGCGTCGCTTTCAGACCTGGCCCAGCACTACCTGATGAGAGCCAACATCAGCGCCGTCCGCAGGGTGAGGAAGACGGACAACAACCGCATCGCCAGGTGAGCGCTGTCCCGCTGCAGGGCGCTCCTTGGGGGCGGTGCTGGCCGTTGTCACCCGGTGACGTCCCCCTCCGTCCCCATCTCTGAGCAGGGCCTGCGGGGCCCGCATCGTCAGCCGCACCGATGAGCTGCGGGAGGAGGACGTGGGCACCGGCGCCGGGCTGTTCGAGGTGAAAAAGATTGGAGATGAGTACTTTGCCTTCATCACCGAATGCAAGGACCCCAAAGCCTGCACCATCGTCCTGCGTGGGGCCAGCAAGGAGATCCTGGCGGTGAGTTCTGCCCTCCGTGCCTGGCATCGGTCATTGCTGATGTTGTTGTCAGCGGTGGTAGTTCCATGCACTGCCTGCCAGCCGGGCTCCTGCGGCCCCAGCCGGGCTCCTGCGGCCCCAGCCG